GGGACCTCATATTTTTCTCCATTATTTCAAATTAAATTATTGTTGCGATCTTATTTATACATTAAAATAAATTTGTTGTTGCTAAAGCACGTCATTTTATATTATAATAAAAAAAATTGCCCACTCATATGTATTTTTTGGTTTTGAATAGCTTAATTTACTTTTTGGTACGCTTAACCCTGTCTCACAATAGGGACATTTACCTTAACAACATATTTTTTCATACATAAAGAGTTGCTCTTCAAGCCTGATTCCTCTCTGACTCCAAAAAGTTCAAAACACTGATTTTAGTGTAAGTAAATGCGGATACTGCACAGTGCACACATATGATCACGTATACACCTATATTCATGCAAGGAGCACCCGACGATCGTTGGTGTAGGTCGGAGCACACAGCTGTTATTTTTAATTTTAATTCGTGTAATGGAAGACCCTCTCTAATATTATTTTAAAATACTATTGGAAAATTAATATTTATGCTTATTCAATTATGTTAATCATATGTTTTATCAACTCCTTTGTGAGTCGCGTATTCTGCTGTTGTGAACTAATTTTCAGCCTGCATTGATAAATACACGAGTAATGTCCTTATTTTGTCTACTCAATCTGTTAGTGGGGGGTTGGCGCTCGGAGCGCGCAGAGGGGCTTCAGCCCCACTAGTATATATACATGTTGTTACTTCAAGAATTCAGAGTTAGTAGATTTATCGGATTCATACTTCGAATATATTACCCTTTTCTAATAAAAATGAAATACGTACTTTACAACAAGCTAGAATATCAAAATTTTTTGCCAAGATAAAATTAAACTATATTATTCCACTTATAAATTAAAACAGAAGCTAGTCATCTGTTAGAAATTACCCTTTCATGCAAAGTGTTAATACAGCCATAAAATAAATACACTTGCAAGAAGTTATTTTTAAACAATTTATTTTTACTTTCAACTGACAGGAACCGTCTTGTGTGCATTTAGATAGCTTGTAGTGTATAATCAAACAGTCGTAATTTCTAGCACAATGGTTTTGATAATTATTTATTATGATTTCAGGTGCTGACATATCCAAGGAAATGGTCGAATTCGCTAAGCAAACTCACAGTGACGAGAAACGGTTATCATTTATCGAATTAGACGCAGAGGCGGAAAAAATACCAAAAGAGCTGATTTGTGCCTTTGACAACGCCGTTTCTTTCTTCTGCCTACACTGGTGTCAAAATACGAGGTATAAAGATAAAATTTATAAGTATGTTATGTAAAATTTACTTACTTAAAACAGCATGAATTTTTTTTAATGCTAAATTTACAGAGAAATGCCCTTGTAAAATTTTATAGCTTACAACCCGATTCATATGCATATGATGGTAAATATTTTTTTCCGCCCTCGGGTGGTTTTGGGAGGCTGGTACTTTTTCGGGCGAAAAAGCAGTTTTCCGGAACTCGTTCGAAAAGTCTCCTTTACGAACCTCGTTACGTCCCTCGCCTTCGGCTCGGGCCGCAAACCTCTCGGTTCGCAAACAGAGACTTTTCA